GATATCATACATAAAACCCCATCGGTGTAAACAGAACTGCCTCGGGGTAAGTGAGGGCAGAATTTGATCCTGTGCTACACTCTCTTGCCATGGGTCTGTTTTTGGAGCTGAGGGAATATTGCCATCTAGTGCCGCACAGAAATCCAACACAGAAAAAATAGTCACACGGTACATTTTAGACAAATGTTACAGATCACATTAAAAATGCACCAGAGACAACATTGTGTGTAGAGTCCTTTGCATAAATATCTTTCTAGAAAGTTTTACACTTTTCTCATTTAAAAAAAATATTCCAGGTGATGGAAGCTGAGAGAGAAGGCATTGCAAAGGAGACCAGTGTGGTTGCTCGGGTGTTCTTCAGCCACACATCCCTTGAGCTATTAAAACATAAAAAACACATAATTCTCAATGCAATTTACTAACATTTTATGTGAGCCTGACCTTTCTGTGCCTTGTTTGACACAAAGGCTACCAGTTACTGATCATATATCTATATTGTCCATTGCTGAGTTTGCAATAGTTCTCGTGGGTCTGTTTATTGGTAGGTAAAATATATATCACTCTATTTTCCTGAATTTAACTGTGTTGGCGAGCACTTCTTGACACGAGTAGACTCACTGACTATATTTAAAAAATAATTACGTATAGATAGATAGATATAAATATAGATATTCTGCATTGCATTTACCATTTATGAAAGCTGCCAGAGTAACAACACTAGCATTTATACAGAGAAAGAAAAAACACCATGGGCAGCAGCAATATAAACTTCCCCACACTGTCCCACCAGTTAGATCTGACCTACAGAGATCCCTTGTAAGGGTGAGATGGTAGTTCAGTGCCCCTGTTTATTTAACGTTTGCTTCTGAGTTGAGCTAATTATGATTTTTTTTTAATATTGACCAATGTCTGAGATACTTGACCGAGACTATCAGCTCATTTAAATAGGCAACCAAATATGTGCCAGATTGTAATGATTTTCTGTCATTATGAATCTGAACCAGATTCAAAGTGGTGGAACCTAAAGGTAAATACGTTTGTCGCTTTTGAAACAATTAGAAAATAAATAAATTTAGCAGTCAAAACTTACAATTGCAAACAATATCCAGATCTTCTAGCTAATAATGTAATTTTTTTTGTGTATGCTGCTTTAAATTCACTTCAGTGCACCACCAATATCTTTGGGGTGTGGTATGGTACTGTTTGGGGATTGTGGTTTGACTCCTGTTCCTGTCCAATAATAATGTAAAAACAAGATTCAAATCACAGATACAGCCCAAGTGTGTTGTGGGAAAGAATGAAAATGAATGAACTCAAATTAAACAAGAAGCTGAGAAAGTCACATACATGTATATAAAAATTTGTTATTGACATAGTCAAAGGTAAGTCCTATTCTGGAATTTCTCCCACTTTGGGAAGGACTTTGAGTATGACACAAAACATGTATCATAAACCACCAAAGAAATGAAGACATGTTTAGCTAATGGCTGTAATACCACTTCTATATAGTATATAAGGACTCCATTGTCCGTCTCTTCTGTGGGTTTGAGGGGGAGGGGAGCGGTCAGAATTTTTTTGCAATATGCCATGAACTGCAGGTGAAAGGTCCTAGTGTTTTCCAAACAGAGAATGAAAATACCTTACAATATGTGAAAGACAGGCAGGGGAGAGATTATTAATATATTACAAAACCCTCTCTTCCCTCATGTACTCCCCAATGGCTAAGATGCTTGAACTAACAGCTTCCCTAAATATAAATGTCAGGGAGCTGATGACCAATGTTGGAATTTGCTTCATCCCCATGGTCTGACAGAGCCTGAGCTTGTTGACCTCTGGTAAATATTGCTAGGCCCATCTGTTTGCTCAGGCTTTTTGCCTGAGGTAAGGGCTGGACTAGATAGTTTGGTGCATTCTGAGTGGGTGGCAGAGGATTTTTGACATCGGTTCGATTTGTTATGTAATTGGGGTATTTAAATGTTTATATATTTGCATAGGGCCTGATTTAGCACCCAGTGAAGACTCTCCTTGACTTCACTAGGCTTTGGATTAGGCTCTTAGAGAAATATGGGGACAGACCCTCAGCTGGTAGAATGTGTCATAGCTCCACTGAAGTTTAGATCAGCTTATGATCTGCCCCAGGATATGCACATTTTTGTAAAGCTAAGAAATAAATATAATGCATAAGTAAGTTTCCCACCTCTAGTGAAAATGGAGCACTTGTTAAATGTAATGCTGCATCTCTTCTCAAATGAAAAGAGACTCCAGAATGTTCAGCCAGTTGGATTGCTCTATTGGCTGAACTGTCTTCAGTGCAAGCAAAAAAGATGTTCTATACGTATCTATTTATTTACCACCATAGCATCTAAGCAACACCCATTTCAATTGTTACTAATGCAGGGCATCATTTTTTCAAATACTTTAAAAAAAAAAAGTAAGTGTATCAGTAACTGCAAAACCACTAAAACATTTCAGGCACATGTGTCCAAAGGATCTGAGGTAATGATTATGAGAGTGGAGGAACAGGCCACAAATTGGTATTAATGTCTCATTTATGATTGTTAACCTTGCAGCCTCTGCTATCCCCCTCCTTTGTGGGGAAATACAGGAGCATACCAGTGTCTCTGGATTTCAATGTAATTCTCAAAACCTAACGTATGTAGTACCCTTCCATTTAAATGGGACTATATCAGGGGTGAGCAAACTTTTTGGCCCAAAGGCCACATCTTGGTGGGGAAATTGCATGCAGGGCCATGAATGTAGGGCTTGCGCAGGGAGTTGGGGTGTGGGAAGGAGTAAAGGGTGTGGGAGGGGGTGTGGTGTGCGGTGTGCAGGAAGGGGCTCAGGGCAAGGGGTTGGGGTGCAGGAGGGGGCTCAGGGCAGGGGGTTGGGGTGCAGGAGGGTGCAGGGTGCGGCAGGGGACTCAGGGCAGGGGGTTGGGGTGCAGGAGGGGTGCAGCAGAGGGTTGGGGTGCGGGGTGCAGGAGGGGTTCAGTGTGTGGGCTCCAGCCCGGCGCCACTTACCTGGAGTGGCTCTGGGGTGGCAGTGGCACGCAGAGAGGCTAAGGCAGGCTCCCTGCCTGCCCTGGCCCCACGCTGCGCTGCTCCCGGAAGCAGACGGTACCACGTCCCTGTGGCCCCTGGGGAATGGGGGGCAGAGGGCTCCGCATGCTGCCCTTGCCTGCGAGTACCTCCCCCAAAGCTCCCATTGGCCGCGGTTCCCCGTTCCTAGCCAATGGGAGCTGCAGGGGGTGGTGCCTGCAGGCGAGGGCAGCACACAGAGCCCTCTGCCCCCCCCCCCCCCTTACCCAGGGGCCGCAAGGAGGTGGTGCCGGCCGCTTCTGGGAGCAGTGCGGGGCCACAGGGGCGGCAATCCCCTGGGCAGGATCCAAAGCCATGACAGGCCGGATCCGGCCCGCGGGCCATACTTTGCCCACCCCCGGACTATATACTCTGTGAAGTATTATGAGGGTTAATCATCATCCCCCAGCTAAACAGTTTGTTTGATATAAATTCCATTCCATTCTTAAAACAAATGAGAAAGAATTTGCTCAGTTGGAAGAAAGTAACTCAGTCCTCCCAGATTAGCCGGATTGCTGCTATTAAATTGAATCTGTTGCCAAATATTTGTTTCCAAAACTTCTCTTTTTTAGGAATGGGTGAACTACATGAATATACATTATTGGCTTCCTAAAATTATAGTTAATTAACATTTTTCCTCAAAATGTAAACCTTTTTTTTTGTTTGTTTTCATTTAATTTAAAAAATGCTTAGTTTGTTAGGGGAAGATGAGTTTACACATGCACGCACGCACACACCCTACGGGATTAGGGGTTTGGAGAGGGTCCCATATGAGGAGAGATTAAAGAGGCTAGGACTCTTCAGCTTGGAAAAGAGGAGACTAAGGGGGGATATGATAGAGGTATATAAAATTATGAGTGATGTGGAGAAAGTACATAAGGAAAAGTTATTTACTTATTCCCATAATACAAGAACTAGGGGTCACCAAATGAAATTAATAGGCAGCAGGTTTAAAACAAATACAAGGAAGTTCTTCTTCACGCAGCGCACAGTCAACTTGTGGAACTCCTTACCTGAGGAGGTTGTGAAGGCTAGGACTATAACAGCGTTTAAAAGAGAACTGGGTAAATTCATGGTGGTTAAGTCCATTAATGGCTATTAGCCACAATGGGTAAGGAACGGTGTCCCTAGACTGTTTGTCAGAGGGTGGAGATGGATGGCAGGAGAGAGATCACTTGATCATTACCTGTTAGGTTCACTCCCTCTGGGGCACCTGGCATTGGCCACTGTCGGTAGACAGGATACTGGGCTAGATGGACCTTTGGTCTGACCCAGTACGGCCGTTCTTATGTTCTTATGTATGTTCTACCTGCCCAAAATGAAACGACTCTCCAACAAGTAGGGCTCTATATCTAGTACATATTGATAGTATTTATTTGTTAATTACAACGTATCTCTTCCCTTCTCTGATTTCTGCACAGTTCCTCCTATATGGAACATAGGGCCAACAAATTTGAGTTGAATGAACTTTCAAACCCGTGAGACGTTTATCATTTCTAAGCTAAGTAAAATAAGTTAACTCCCCCCTAATGTCTATAAAAATGTAGCTATTCCTGACAAAGTAGTGGGAAGAATCCATTTTTTGTCTCCTTCTGTGGAACATGTACCAAATGTGTTCTTTTGAAAGCCAACGTGGTTTCTGAACAGAATATTGTATCACAAACATGATCTTTATTCTCCAGTAACTTCAGAAAAGCACAGGTGAACAATACTAATCGCTATAGATGGCTTGCGTTGATCTAACTAAGGATTGTGAGCATGTTACTGGAAAGATGTTGTGTCATCCTTTCAGGAAGTGCTACCTAGATAGGCTTGTTTCTATCATCCATTCATTCCATCAGGATATGTCTGAAAGGATCGGTTACAGTGGTTATCTGTCAGATCAGGATAGATGTCAAGCAAGGATGTGTGTCTGCACTTTACCTGTTTCACTGCTGCAGTTAATGCTGAATCCACCAACAAGTTCCAGGCAGAAAACGACATCCATGTGCGATAAGGTAAATTCTCCAGTCTATCACGCCTGAAGAAAAAACTAAAGTTTCCAAACAGCTCGACCTCCTTAGGATGCTGTTCTTGTTGCTCAGTCTGAGCAGGAACTCCACGCATTGGTAACTCATTTTAATATAGCAACAATCAACTTTCTTACTGTTAGATGAAGAAAAGACAGACTTGCTCTGACAAGCTCCATCTGCCCGTCCCTTCACTGAACATGAAATTTTCATCAGTGATGCCACTTGGGAAGTGTTGTATCTGACAATGCTTTTTTGTATGGATGCTGAAATCACCATCCAGGTTAACAAAGCATGCACTGTCTTTGGCAGGCCCAACAAATGTGTTTAGAGAAAGATCTTGGACTTCAAAAGGACACCAGCTTTAAAGAATATCAGGCAGTCATGCAAGCCATGTTGCCTTGTGGTTGTAAATCTTGACTCTGTAAGTGTCAAAGCAGCCTGTGTAATGCCTTCCTTAAGAAAATTTTCTACATTAGAACTGTAAAGATTGTATTTACTATTAAAGGTTTTGATCATTCAAAGCTACTATGTGCTGCTGCTATCTTTGATTAAATTAAACTGCACTGGCACATCTTTCCAAACATTAGCTCCTGTAGTCAACTACGGAAGGTTCATATTGGCATGGTGGATAAGCTTCTCTGTATTAAAGACAGTCTCAAACAGTTACTTAAAGACGCTAACACTGCAGCTAACACCTACCAAATCCTGGCAGCTGGCCCACGTGAGTATCTTCTATATTTGCACAGTGTCAAGCACACTAGCAGTACTGAATAAATAATAATCCTAACGACCTGTAGGCAGTCAGGGAATGGCTATGGATGAGGAGTTCATACTGGGAAATCTGAAAATGAAAAGTTTTCTTGTTATAATTATGGGAAAGCTCTTCTCCTCCTTTTCCTTTTAATTCATTGATCTGTTTTCCTCAATAACAAGGGGTGATGGTGATGATAAAGGTACCAAAAAAAGAATTTCTTTGTAAGATGATATATCCCCTCAAGCAGGGAATTTAAGCTAACATCTACACCAGTAGTGTCATACATAAATAATTTGTAAGATCATTGAGCGGAGTAGTCAGTAATAACTCAAACTTCTGATTCCAAGAACCCATTTCTAATTTAAATTAAAGACAAAATGGAAAGCAAATATTTTATACTGGGGGAAGCGGGGCGGAGAATCACTGGAAAAAAAATTTCACTTCACCATCTTCTTTTAGAGGATGAAAGCAACTTTCTCCACTTATGGTGAAAGTTCCCAAAACACATAGGTGCTGGTCACAAATCTTTGAATTGATTGAATTCCCCCATGAATTTTGTCAATCATCAATTCTATAAAAATGTCATTAAAAGCTAACTTACTTCTGCAAAAAACTTTTTTTCTTCCCGTTTTTGCTAATGCTTATTTAATTCAGACTCCTGACAAACAGTTGAGAGAAGACCTTTCTTTGAGGAAAAAATCAATGCTGCCTCCTCTTCTAATGAAGGGTGAAAATTTACCCCATTCTGCTCCCTTAGTAGACACAGAGTAATTCAAGATTTAAGAGCAGTTAAGAACTGGAATAAATTGCCTAGGGAGCTTGTGGAATCTCCATCATTGGAGATTTTTAAGAGCAGGTTAGACAAACACCTGTCAGGGATGGTCTACATAATACTTAGTCCTGCCATGAGTGCAGGGGACTGGACTAGATGACCTCTCGAGATCCCTTCCAGTCTATGATTCTATAATTCTAAAGGTAAAAAAATAGGTGGAAATGTTTGTTTGTTTTTAAATTGTCTGCCTTTACATATGAAAAAAGGGACAGTAAAGGGCACAAACAAAAATGATTTCCCCCCCTTTGCTGTTTGCCTTTAATGTAAATAAAAAGATGCAAAGGGAGACTCAGTGTAATCAAGTTAGTCTCAAGGGCCATTTTTCAAAAGCTTGAAATAAAACATGCTGAAAAGAAGCAAATCTTCAGGATCACAGGAGAAAAGAATAAACTGAAAAGTGCCAAAGTCACCAACTGTTGAGATGATGGAGTATCATGCTCAAAGCTGTTAAGGTGTTAATAGAGCTGTTCAGTGTTACCTTAAAGAGTTAATTGTAGATCATGGGTTTTAATTAAAAGGACTGGGGCCTGCTTTTATCATGTTAACCATAGAAATCCTTTAAAACGTATTAAACACAAAACCATACAACATGAAAATGACAAAATAAAAATACGTGGAATTTCCCTCTTTAATTTACATTTTGGACTGACCTACAAAGGGAGAAACATTGTTTAAAAAGTATCTTATAGGTACCGAAAGTCTTTCCTCAGGGTGGGGGGAAGAGTCCAATCAGCTGTTGCAGTTTGGCTCAACATTTATGGTTAAGATTATTCCTTCTGTTTAAGAAAACACACACACAAAGGGAAGAGAATGGGTAGAAAAGAAAGCAAAAGTTCTGTCTTGATGATGCTTGACCATTCATGTTGCAGGCATGATAGGATACAGATGAATCAGTCATGATCAGATGCGCATTAGCTTTTTGACACTGGCTCACTTTTTTTCTGAGATGACATCTGGATGGTACACGCAGGTCTCCTCCAATCTTCCTTCTGCTGGGGCAAGACTGCTTATGCTGTTTTAACCAGTTGTGCAGGTTATGGTAATAACATCATGAAATGTAATTAACTCTAGGACTGGTCAATCTTGGAATCGGTTAGATAAAAAATGACAAGACAAAATAAAATGGGGATGATATAACACACAAGGAGGGGATAACTTAGGGTGACCAGATATCCCTATTTTATAGGGACAGTCCTGATATTTGGGGCAATTTCTTCTATAGGCGCCTATTACCCCCATCCCCAGTCCCGATTTTTCACACTTGCTGTCTTGGTCACCCTAACTGTAATCTTAAACCTTCATCCCAGAAGTTACATAATGTAATGAACCTGCTGGACATAGTGCCCCATCGATCCCCAGTGCAAAATGCATCCCATAGAGGGCGCCATAATCCTCAGAGAACAGGAAAGGGAACATAAGAACATAACAACGGCCATACCGGGTCAGACCAAAAGTCCATCTAGCCCAGTATTCTGTCTACCGACAGTGGCCAATGCCAGGTGCCCCAGAGGGAGTGTACC